ATATACTATAGTATAGTATAGTAGTAGGTCAAAGGTCACACTGTTCGCATAAACAATTATGGTGTAGACCTAATTATGGCTCCTGCTTGGGATTCGTCAAAAATAAGATAAGTAAAGGTCATTAGCGGTTATTTGAAAAGTAATTTTTCTATAAAACCAAAAAAAAAAGTTAATTTAATGCGTTGGCAATACCGATGGAACTAACGATGGCTTTTAGACCATTAGGGTTGTTTTTAAATTAACGGTGACTTAATAAATCATTAGTTGTAACCATTATGTCCATTGTAGATGTGGTTGGATCGGCGGGGTTATTTTGCATTTATTTTTTTTTTAATAATTTACCTTGTAAAATTGCTAATGGCGGTTCCCCACATAACAAGCTATTGTTAGACTAAAAGGACTAAACAACTTTTTTTTAAATGACCCTTTAATACCTCTTTTAAAAATTACATCCGACGGTCCTAATCATTATTCGTCATCGTCATATATGATAATAATTTTTTAGTTCATTTGCATTTGTTTTGGTTTTTTCTTCTTTGTTGTTGTTAAGCGCCTCGAGCATCATCATCATCATCATCATCATCATCATCATCATCATCATCATCATGATTTAAGACCGTTTTAAGCCTCCTCCGAGTAGGCTTTAAAATTTAAGACGGCTAACTGGAGACCGCGGTATAGCAATGGTCTATAATCATAGACCAGTAGTGACGTCACGATTATAGCCGGCTAAACGTTAAGACCGTCTAAAGACCGCTTATAGCAATCTGCCCCTTACCTCTGTCGTTACAAAATACGACAAGGATTGTTACAAAAACGACAATTTTTTTGAAAAATAAGACGTAACAGACACGGGTCTTAAAGCCCCATTCCCGGCAAAATTTCACTAAAAACTGACTTTTTTTAGAAAATATGCATTTGCATTACTCCAATTATTATAAATCATGGAAAAATATTGGCATGAATTTTAGTTTCACGCAAAAGAATAAAAAAAAATGAGAAATACAGACTATTTCTCATAAAATATTACCATTTTCTCGACGAATTCATCGTTACTAGGCAAATTCAGAGGTTGTAGATCGCATCCACTGGAATTCTCTCGCTTTTATGTATGCTTTATACAGTCAATAAAGTGCGCCCTCTCTAATGAGATTACTTTTTGTACTTCGCATCTCGCACAATGCGGTCGTTCGAGTAGGTCTGAGATTTGTTTAAGTGTCAAAATCTCGGTCAGAATCAGTTTTTAAACAAATTTGAAATGATTCCTGTGAAATATTATATTCACAAGTGTCAATACTAGAAACAGAATATATCATGTCGGCCGTTTTTATGTGTGATAACAGAACCCAAATCGAGGTAAGGCTAGGCCTAGCCTAGCAGCATTGTATAGGCTAATGTTTTCGCCGCCTACGATATTTCTTCTCACGACCTATCGCAAAATCAACATGAAAAATTCATCCGCATTTATTTTTTGTGTGGAACACAAAAAAAAATCAAATTTCAGTCTTATTTTACATTTTTTCATTCTTATGAATGTCTAAATTCATTTAAACTAGCAATTCCGTATTATATTTATAAATCTTTATAACATTATACAAAAATTAGATTTTTCTTAAAAACTGAAATTTTGCCGGGAATGGGGCTTTAAAAGGGCCCTGGATAAACCAGCGCATTTCTTTGCAAGCACTATGGTCCCAAAATCGGGCCCCTTAGAGCACAACGTGTAAAAACGGGTAAGCCTAGAATACTGGCGATTAAAAGAAAACTATAATAGTTAAAGCCCACGGTTTAATTGATAAACTGTAAGTTAAGACTTTACGTCATGTAGGGTTTTCCCAGATAGGACAGCACTGTCAAATAGGATAAAGTACTGACCATGAAGCTACAGCATGTTGTAGTTAGCATTGCCTTAACGTAAGGTCTTTATTTAGTAATAGAAAAAAATGTACTATAAGAACTTTTCTTTTAATTTTTCCTTTTCAAAAATAGATGCTTAATTCTTATTGTGTTATTCACCTTACACACAATGATTTTAACATTCAAGTATTTAGAACAACTTTATTATGGTACAACTATGTGCGCGCCTGTCACTAGTTTGTCTATACATACTATTCCATGACTTGGTCTAACTAAGATGAAACACCAACGAATACAATAGTTTATATTTGTAGGCCTATACTTTATATTATATATGTCAAGTGGAGATTTACGGACGTGACAAAAGCTAATGAGGAACTAACTGTTTTTTTCACCTGTGATGCTATTAAACAGTCGCTTATCAGATTGTCCCAGGTGAAAACAGCTTAATTATTCCTTAATCCAAAGCCTTCCAACATCTCGATCAACGTTAAGCCTGGATAGGTCTCACGTCGCTATGCTATCGAACCGTTCCTTCGATGGTATTTTGGTGAAGAATCTTTACAACGCTTTTAGAAGCAAGACGAATAACTGTATAAACACAATCAGATTGTTTTATTACTCCAATTCGTACAGGAAACATCAAGGTATCACCACGATTGATATTTGTTCGCTGACGACGTTTGTACGCCCTCAAAATACCAATGTATGGTAATTTATGCACAACAATAACATTCGATCCAGAAAAGATGGGGAATAAAATGTTTTAGAAGTCGTACTATAGATAAACAGGAGCGGATTCAGAAATATTTTGACGTGGGGGCCCAATATGTATTGGATTATGAGTAGAAATAAAGCATAAGACATAAAATGAAAGTAAAAATTATATATATTAAATATTAAACAGGGCCATCACAATTCAAAATCTCAAATTATCAGAGCTTTCGAGGGCTTCGACCCCTTCAAACCCTCCGTAAGTTCTGGGACATCTCCCCTCCCCTGTCGTCGGGCAAATCTTGGCACCACCACTTTTGTTTTGTGATGACTTTACACAATTAAGAGCACCAATAGCCAGAAATAGTTCAAAAGTAAGTGTGATGATTAAATACTTGATCATGAGCTTGTCATGAGTATGAGTATCACGGTAGACATTCGTCAGAAAATAAAAATGGAATGTAAACATTTCTTCTTTTGGCAAAATATTAAATCAATCATATGGTTTCAATAATATACGGTATAACTGAAGTACAATAATTTATTAATAGATTGAAATTGCCAAAAACCTTCAAATGGGTGAGATAGGGGGAGCTTCGGCAACAGTATTTCAGAGTTTCACCTTATGTCCATAAAGTATAACAATTGTTGTTTGCAACTCTAGATTATCTTTGGCCCATGAGATCAACTTGAAAAAAATAATTTGGCATCCAAATAAATTAATTAAGAACCAGGGGTGTATAGCGTAGACCATCGTTTATTGCCGTCTCTTCATACGCTACTGGTTCCAACCACTCTATCTTCTGTTTCCTGCATATCCGGAGTCCCTACTATTTTGAACCACATCTCTGCTTTTTTATTTTGAGTCTATCCAGTGACCAGATTAAAACATAGCATATAATAACACTAAAATTGCACCAACGACAGTAATTGCTATAAGGAATCCGGATTCTGTATTAAAATCAAGAATTGCCTAAAATATGAGTGAGCACTAAATAGGATATTACGTACGCAACTGGGTATACAACGAAGCAAACACACCGGCGTAGCAGATAAAGGCGTTTGGATGATCATCGCTAAACTCGTGAACATTCAATTTATCTTCTAGGATATAAACTGGAAGGGCACCCTCTATGAATATATAAGATTAGATTATTGGATAAAATACATACCGCAACCTACAATATTGCACTTTACATAGGCCTATATCAAATCATTAAAATAAAATCAATTTGGCCATGCAACCAGAATACACCAAATAGAGATAATAGTAATTAACATTCTTGTCGTCTGCCCATAAACTCAGTAGTAAACATACATACACCCAGCTAAGAGTAAAAACAGACTCCAAAACGCAATACAATAAGTTATACAGAAGCCACTAAACAGTTTTATTTTATTTTTACATAGTTGTAGTAGGCATAAATACAAGTTCGATTTTAAATCTCGGCCTATATACATAAACAAAGAAAAACAGAAAATGTAATATGGAATGCTATAATGCATAATTATGGCAGAATTCTTAAAAAAAACAATTGAAATATAAAATTATAAATGAATTCGTTTAGGCCTTCAGTAATTACAGTGGATCTAAGGCCTGCTTGTCCTGTGAGCAACAGTTTATGATACGTTATTCTCAACTAAAACGTTGTTTCATCAGCAGATTGTTCACTCGCCTTGGTGCCGAACGATTTTCTTGCTAATGTCAATCTTAAATTAAACAATAACCATAATATTACCTGGAAAACAAAAGCACCAATTATACAACCGACAATACTTAACACAGCTGTAACAAGGTCGTTTTCATAGTCAATTATCGGATAAATATAAGAATGACCATATGGATCGGTTCCGCCTGCCACCCAGTAAATAATGGTAAAAAATAGGTAGACAGCTCCGTACCAGAGGGGGTATACTACATGAATGAAACGGAACGGTGTAGCAGACAGCATCGTTTCGATGATACCAACAAATGACGTAAGGGTATGTACGTTCAGATCTATGAAGAGATCTACGAAATTTAAATTTCCTGTGGAATATAGAGCCGTCCAATAAACCACCGTTACCATAATCGACGTGTTTGCTGATAGGTAATACAGGAACCACTGTAATTTGTAAATAAACGGCAGATCGGGTGTATCGGCAGAGGATGACCGTCCTAAAAGAAGTCTGTCTGTGAAAAAAACAGATAAAATCAACGATATTCATGATTTCGACCAAAGCGATTCAGTTAAGGACATTCATTAGAAACAAGGAATCGGGCCCACAAATTATTTCAAATGACGACCCGCTTAAAGCCTGTTTTCCGCTAGGCGAATTTATTCGCGCGAATCAAAGCTTCGGTTCGCTTCCTGAGCTCTGATTAGTTGCGCATATTTCAGCTTCGCAAAAACCCGATAGAAATGTGAATGCGCATGCGTATGAACCGACGCTTTGTATTCGCACGAATAAATTAGCCTAGTGGTAACAGGCCTAAAGCCTGGTTTCCATAAAAATCGCTACACGCTACTACCGACACCTTTTGCGACGCTGATTGGTCAGTAAAACGATTCCCAATTGCGGTGGGGGCAGCTACGCAGTGCAAGAATTGCAGTGAAAAGCAACTGTGTAGCGGTTGTATGGAAACCAAGCTTGAAGCTTAATTGGTTCCCATATAATCGCTCACGCCATCGCCGACAGGGACTGCTACGCAGTATAACAATTGCACTGAAAACACTGTAGCGAAAGGGTAGCGATTTTATGGAAACCATGGTACCGACAATTAGTTGAAGGTGTCACTTCATCAACCGCTCAGAGAGAGAGAGAGAGAGAGAGAAAGAGAGAGGGAGAGAGAGAGAAAAAACTGACATGGGAGTCGTCGACAACAGTAACATAAAGCCGAGCACTGCTACGACGCGATTTAAGAGAACGTGACAAGGTGTGCGCTAAAATCGGTTTTTTTTAATTGACGATTTGCTAAGAATTTCACCGACAAGCAGCAGAAGGCGTAACGTCTTCAAACGCTCACAGCGAGCGGAGGGATTTAGTCGGCCGACGGTTACGACGTATGGTGTCCCCGGCTTAAAATTAACAGTAAAGCTGGACACTCAAACTGCGCCGACGCTCGTGATTCCGAACGCAACCAGATGCAACCGATCAATCCGCTTTAGTCTCTGCCATCGACAATAATTATGGGCGTCGCGTCGTCACAGAATAGAGATGAATTTGTAATCCAACATAATTAAGTACAATCATTAAAATTCATCAAACCCCAAGATCAATGTAATGAAAACCTCGATTAAAATACATACCGTACCGGATACCGTATTTAGCCGAATAAACGCCCAAGCGTTTATTATTGAGAAGGTTTTTGAGGGAGTGTTTATTCGATGGATACGTTTATTCGAGGGAGGCGTTCATTGTTTTGATGTAAAATGTATACGTATATACTCAAATAAACATCCCTGAAGCCTGTTTTTACTAGGCGAATTTATTTAATCGAAAGCGTCAGTTCATGCGCGTGCGCATTCACATTTCTATCGGGCTTTTGCGAAGCGAAAATATGCGCAACTAAACAGAGCTCAGGAACATATACCTTTAAAATGTTTTCTTGTGTGATCCCACATTCATAGAATGTGTTGAGAATGGTGTTGCTTCCATTAGTTCTGTTTACAGTCATTTATGGGGTAATTTATTTAATGAAAAAAATAAACACCCCGGGGATTTAGGCCTATTCCAAATGAGGCTCTGGAGGGGGCGTTTATTCGAGGGGAGTTTATTCGATAAAATCGGGTAAATGATAAAGAATAATGCTAAATATAAATATGCTTAATTGATCACAATTATTCTCGAGTAGGCCTATAATAATTTCGATTTCACATTCATATTATTTTACGTCTATTAATATGTAAACATCCGGGAATCCTCATCCTCTTCACTAATTTAAACATCAATTAATCGAGGTAATTAACAAACCTTCTTCTCGCCGTCTCGCATTTAGATAATATACTAAACTGTTGTACGAAGCTAGTAGAAGATAACACGTGACCACGATGAATGTCCAATTGGTCAAATAGATAAAGAACGTCCAACCATAATCGGTCACTGAATAAGGGATATACCAGACAGTGAAACCAGCAAAATAGATAGCAACCACGAATCGATAGATGGTGAAAATATGCGGGTTGAGGCCTGAGAACTGAATAAAGATAGATCAATGTCATTCAGACAATGTAATTAGAAAAATAATGCTACCGTTTTGATCATGCTTCTGGCATGATACTGTATATACAAATTAAACAGATGGATGTGTCATTCAAATATACCGTCTGTTATAATTTGTGGAACACAATTAAACATCCATAATATGTTAAATAGGTTCTAAACTTAATAGAAAACAGTATAAATTATGTACACAATGTTAGTTAATCTACATTAACATACATTTTACCAAATTAATTAGGCTACCGGTACTGCAGCAAATTTAAGGGTATATGAAAATGAAATATAAAATGTATTATTGATGCGTACGGTACTATTAAATAGCAAGAAAATATTTTTTCTCATTTTAATCTTCAGCTATAAATATAAAAAATAAACAATTCAATTGTTGATTATTTTTCAAGGTTTCAGGTTAACACAGATGTAACTGTACTGATTGGTGGAGCATTTTTATGCATGGTCTGTGGTCTAGATCCTAACACATTGTGTTTATATATATACCCCCTGCATAAACAATTAAACCAGTTTATTTTATTTATCTTTTAAACTGCCACTAATATTAAAAATAGTAGTATAAATACTACTAATAATAATATTAGAAAATAGATGTAACGTCTCAGAATTGTGGTAAAAACGGTTTGCGGTCACTCTACCACATGTGTTTACATAAACAATTAAACCATTTCGTTTTATTTAACCTTTAAACTGAAAATTAAAAGTACAGATACTAATAATAAGAAAATAGATGCAACGTCATATTGTGGTATTCATGTTACAGAGAAAATTCAAGCGTTTATTCAGAACAACAGCTTCATTAAATTATGGTAAACGTTCGAACTATGCGTCAACAACATGCCTCTATAGGGCCTACACTATTACAAGACTTGGAATTAGTTCCTTGTTGACACCAGCGAATGCAATAGTTTATATAACTGATTGAGGATGATTTACTCACCTCTGAAGTTACAAATAATCGTTTATCAGAGTGAAGTCCCAGGTGAAAACAGCTTAGTCCACAGCCTTCCAACATCTCGATCAACGCTAAACCTGACTCTGCCGCACGTCGCTATGCTATCGAACTGTCCTTTCGATGGTATTTTGATAAAGATCTTTACAACACTTTGTAGCAAGACACAGTACTCATCTTGTATAACACAATCAGCTTAATTGTTTTATTACTCAAAATAGTTCGTACAGGGCACTCGAAGGCATACACTACACGATTGATGATATTTGTTTAGGCGCATTCGTTGACAATGTTTACACTCCCTCAAAATACCAATCACTGTATGGTAATGACGTATTCAACAGTCCTATGTCCTATTTAATTAATGTATAATGCATAACTATAATATACAATTTGTGCAGGTATTTAGTATACACGTTCATAATATTCGTCATTACACCATCATTTTATGGTATGGAAATAGTGAAAAGTGCTGGTTTAAATATATTGTGGGTAAGCGGCCAGGTCATAAGGCATGTTGTGTTAATCCCATGACCTGCATGATCTTTACACCTGTCACCAAGCACTTATAGATCAATTTATGCTATACGTGCTGCGTGGCAACTAACCACGCATGGATCGGATGATGCTCACTATATGGGGAATCCCTATGTACATTCAAAATGTTATCTCCCCTGAAAATTGACAAAAAGTCATACAAAATTTCATAGAAATGAACGGGGACAATACATCAACCAAGTGTGACTCATGGTGGGGTAAAAAACATCGAAATGTAAACATATCTTAGCTAACCTACAAGTGGCTGACTCAGGGTGGAGACAGCGCTATAATTTGACTGTCAAAAAACCATTATGTTCCATTACTTCGGCGAACCCTCCCCTGTGTCACCTTTTTTAAAATCATGGGTCCAGTACTTCTCTCACAATAATTATGCTAATAACAGCAAGGGCTAACTTAAACGTATAGATATTGCCTCGTAAATCTAAACATTTAGCAAACATTTAAAATTAATAGTTTATTATGTGTTTTTAGCTTTCAAACTGAAATTTTGAACGATGGAATTTGTCCTCCAAACTGAACAGGCGTTTAAAAATTACCACTCTTATAATGCTTGTTAAAACGTCCATAAATAAATCATTTTGCAGTAATTCTAAATAGTCCTTATAACCGCTGTTTTTTTTTTTTTTTGTGGGGGGGGGGGTTTGCCTTCTCTATGCAGGCTTTGATCAAGAGCAGGTACTTCGCGGTAAATTTTGTCATTTAGCGCAAATGGTAAAGCAATTACTAAAATAATAAAGTTCATATTTTTTCGAAAATCAGCAGGGCTGTGTTTTTGAGGGAGCAAATTCACGAGCACCATCAACACAGGGACGTAGCCAGGATTTTGAAAGGGGGGTGCCGTTATGCGAATTACGTATGACCCCGGCGGGGTCAAGGGGGCGGGGTCAAAGGGGCGAATCCCCTTGTGGAGTAGCGTACTCTGAACGTTCTTAGGACTGTTTGAGAGGATAAAGTGAAAATTACAATAGACGCATTATAAATAAGCGAAAAAATAATTATATAATAAATCAACAGTGGAAGATTAAGAAATTCGAAAGAGAGGTAAAACAGGGACTCAGAGAGGGACTTTCACAGACCGAGGAACCACCCACCTCAGCCCCACCATGGTTGGGGCTGAGGTAAGAAAATTTATGATTAGGGCATCTCTAGATGGCCGGAAATTACACTCTCGCACTTCAATTTGAATTTATTTTAAGGGGGAGGGGGTGCCTTGAATCCACCTCAGCTCAAAACATTCTTTATCCAGAATAGTCATAATCACGAAAAATGGACATGAAAAACCAGATCACATCCTAAAAACAAACAGCAGTCACTAAGACATACATCAGGAGCCGACTCGATGGAGTTTAATGTCATACCCA